TGAATGGACCTGGTGAATACAAGTAAAATAGAACAAAAATATATTAAACATGAAGGTAGCCCCTGTTTAAATGAATGTTTTGTTTCTGAACTGCTTTAGTGGAAATTCCTCAGAGCATGACCTCTTCCGTACTTGGGGAATACTGGGCCAGAAACATGGGGGAATACCGGCCTACCTTAACACGGATATCTCAGCAGCAAATCTTCAGCTTCGAACTGCTCTGCCTTAAGCACACTTGTGCAATGTGCAGCCTCTGTTAGGAAGTTTCTCAAGACTTGGCTTTTTTTCCTCCCCCAGCAAAGACGAGATTAAGACAGAAGAGGTCTCGGAGGAGGGTCAAGCAGAGGACACAGCTGAAGATGTTGATGTTGATGTGGTTGGTGCAGACCAGGTAATTCTGGCTCGTTTTCTCCAGCTCTGAGGACAGCTGTAGTTGAGGTGGGTGAATGTGAGTTCAGAATCTCATGAGTACCCGTCTAGCAGCTCTTTTGTGGCCCCTTTGGGGCTGAGAAAAGGGGTTTTCCACTCTTCCCTTTCCAGCTGCAGCTGCAGTCTCCTTCTTTAGCTTGATCTGCATTTTAAAGGGAATTCTTATTGTAGCATCTAGACATTCTTGAGTACACTGAACACCAGCTAGGATGCATTAAGAGGAAGATCTGGTTTCCTTTTTTCCCCTACTGTGATGTTTCTTGATGAAGAGCCATTTGCTGCAGTTGCTTTGTGCTACTGACACATCGCAGAGATGGCACTGCTGCATGGCCTGCAGGGAATGTCTGCTCCAGAAATGGTGTTTGCGTTGTGCTCTTTAGGTTGAAGGAATGTGTCTGATCACTGGTCAGCCCAGGGCTCTTGCTGGAGCCTCCCTTGTTTCTTGCCCTTTTCCAGTCAAGGCTGGTGGGGAGATCACATTGTCCCCAAACCAGCTGAGGATTTGAAGGGAAGCATGTGGAACCTTGTGGGCTTGGAGTGGCAGCCAGCGCAGCCCGGGGGTTGTCTGGTGGGCACTGATTGCCTTTGGGGTCAGAGAAAAGTTTGGCAAGGCTGCAGCTGCCTGCCTGGGTCTGAGCTCAGCCCTGGAATGGATACCTTCAGCTTCCCTTTGGGCCACTGCAGGGACTCAAACGGGGTGTTGTGCACCAGGGGTCTGGTGGCAGTGACTATGATGAAAGGTGGGGGGGGGGAAAGAGGCCCTGAATTTTCCTGAGCTGCAGCTACTCAGAGCCCTCCCATCCTCTACGTGTTTGCTGTGTCAGCCACTGTGAGGGCCTGAGTGGTTCCTTCAGGTTTCTCTCCTGAATGTCGCCTTGATACCTGAACCTCTCATGGAATGCACACCCAGAGTCTCACAGACAGGTTTTGCCCTGAGGCGTCAACCCCTTGGTTTCCAGAGGCTCTGGTTAGCTGGGATATAACAGCCACTAGTCAAGGATCTTGTGTGATTTTTGAGTTGGTAAATGAGTTTTTCCTGTGAAGTTGAGCAAATGGTTCCTTTTCATATTTGAAGGGTGGGGTTTTTGTTAAATGAGGGCTAGAAGGAAAAAGGGACCTTTTCAGTCATATGCCTGTTAAAATGTAGACTGTTTGGACCATGTGCTTGGAGCAGCTACTGTTGAAGAGAGATAATAAAAGAATTTTAATCCATGGACTGAGGTTGGAGCCATGCAGAAAATGCACTACTTGGCTAGTATGTGGCCTTTCCCTCTAGTGCCTTTTCTGGGTGCCTTGTGGTGTAGAAATGCTTCTTCCTGTTTGTGGAAGCCAAACATAGTGCTTTCCAAGAGCTTGCTCTGGCCAAGCTGCCAGGAGGTTTGATGCTGCACACTTTGATTCCTTATGTTCTCTTATGTGATTTTTAATTCATAGTGTGAGACTGGCTTAATCTTCTTTTTTCTTCTGGTATAGGACAGTTAAGACACTGAGAGGATAGATGGGAGTGGAGAACACGCCACCATTTCTTTCTGCAAATTGTTTAACTGAAAATGAGGTTGTGATGGCATCGACCAAGGCAGCAGGAGACACACGTCAAGCCAAACCCCTGCCTGTAGGCTCCCTGCAGAAGCTGGGGGTTCTCTCCATGTTGCTGTTGGTGGGTGTTACCAATTTGGCTGTTGTGCCTGTAAGGTTGTTATGAACATCATTCATTGCTCAGCTGCATCTCGGTCCTTGGTGCTGCCCTAGAGAAACTCTCGACCTAAGAATTAGAATCAGGGTATTGAGTCAAGGGCTCTGTAAATGGGGTGAGGCAAACTTGCTCAAATCAGTGCAGGGGCAGCGTTCTGACAGTGTATTCTTTGCCATTTGAGAGAACCAAGATGGACATCTACTTGTTTCCTTCTACCTGATGCCAGGAAGAAAGGAGCCTGCCCTGCTGTGAGCACCATGACCTGCTGGGTGACAGCAGGTGACCTGTCTGTGCCATTTCCTGCTTGTGCAATGGAAAACCTGGATCAAATCACCTGAAAGTATTTCTGAATTCCAGTGGTGGTGGTCTGTGGAGACTGGGACATGTTCCCAGGGGATTTGCATCAAGGCTTCTAAGTAACAAAAGAAGAAACAGCAGGCCCAGTTGACCAAGTATTTTCCTCTGGAAGAAATCCTTCATACAGAGTGATCACATGGTATTTACTTGGAAAATATAAAGCCTGAAAAGACAATGTAAATAGTCTGTAAATATGGTCCTTCAAAAGGAGTTTTTCCAGTGAGCATTTGCCAATGATCTTCACTCAAGAGTGTTTCAGAGAGGCAGTAGGCTGGGGGAAATGCGCTAGCTGCTTTCACTGCCCCTTTGTCACCACATCATGGAATTGTACATTGCATTAATCCCATCAGCTGTACTTTTTTTTTTTTTCTTATATATTTGGATTGTAACTGTGTAAAATAAATGACAGAACTATTGCTAGCCATTAGTACTGAATGTGCCAGTTCTGTTCCCACACTGACTCTGGAGGAAGAACAGCAGCAGTGCTACAAGGCCTTCTGGTGTGCCCTGTTACTAAAAAGACTGAGATAGCAGCTCTCGCGGACATGGGAGTGAAAGCCATGAATGAGCCTGGTGGCTGTCAGCAGTCCTGAAGTGGCGATGGTAAAACCATTAGGGTTCATTTTGCACAGTTAGTTAAGCTGAGCATGGTGTAGGTGAACACCAGGGAGAGGTGGCACTGCACAACACAGTGCTGATCCTCACCCGGATCAGCTTGTTCTGTTCCCCTGCGATTCCCTCCCCCTGCCCCAGACCAGGACTTTGATAGTGATGTTTCCCTTCCCCATCTTAACCTGTGGATTGAGGCCCGAGCACTTACTGGTGGGCAGAAAACAGCTGGACTAAGCACACAGTTATACCTGGGGACACATCAAACATGCAGATGCTTTAATTCTTGTAACTAAAGATGAGGGATGGGAATTATCCTTCTGGGGGAGGCACTTCCATAGTAACACCATGATTTGTCCCACTGGGTCTGGTCTGTGCATATGCTGTAGGAAAAAAAAGGAGCTTGATTATCACAAATATAACAGAGAGCAGGATTAAACAGCCCCTTGGTTAAACACAACAGCAGCTACAGGCTCTGCAACAGAGACCTACCCTGCACTGCAGCTCTGCAACAGAGCAGTGTCACTGTTAGATGGGGCTGTACAATGCTCTTTAGAAGCCCATTTCTCAGCAGGGGAGGTCCAGCTCCAGGGTTTCAAGTAAGGAAGAGCAGCAGCCCCTCGCCTCCAGAACAGCAACAGAAGTTCAAGACCAGCTTCTAGAAAGCAGTTGGTCATCCTTTCCCACACACCTTGGGGAACAGAGCTTAACACAAATGCTGTCTGTTACTTGGCTTGTTTAAAAACCCCAAACCACAGGCAAGCAGTGAAAAGTACTTGACTAACCCTGGAACGATTTGGCATTGACAAGTTGCCATTAAAATTGGAGTAATAATCATCCCTTGTTTTCAAAAGTATCTTAAGTTTAGTGACATGGTTTAATGGTGGGTCTTGAGAGTCCTGGGGTAATGGTTGGACTTGATGATTTTAGAGGTCTTTTCCAACCTAGTTGAGCCTATGATTTTCCCTTGGTAAGGTTCACCAACAGACATTAGCGATGAGTTTCATTATACAAGACACCAGGTTTGTAAGTGTCTACATGAGACAACGTGATGAGTTGAGTGGAGCAGATGTCTCTGTGCCATGTCCAGCTGCTCAGCAACAGTCTTTTGGGTGAGGAATATGTAGCCTGGTGTAATTTTCCAGCCAACTGCACACACGTAACCCTTTGTGTCTTAACTATAAGAAGTTAACTGTATGCAGGACAACATAATAACTAGAACCATTGAATTACATGTATGAAAATCTTTATTTGAAAATACAAACATGATTTTTAAACATTTCAACAGATCTACACTGCAACCAAAAAATAACTTACATCTTTTTGTACATTTTTTTTTTATTTTTTTCCCCAACAAAATCTGTTTAACAGTAAGAGTGAGGCAACAATTTCAAGCTGCTGTGACACTGATGAAGATCCATGGAATGTGTCAATAGCAAACAACTGAAGGGGGGGGACGACAGACAAAAGCGCTGAATGCCCACAACAAATTAGTGCACATCACTGATCAAGTAACATTTATACAAAGGATTTTAAAAAAATTGGTTCCTTCTCCATGAATGAACACACTCATTTTGGATCAAGTATGAAACAGACTTCATCATTAAATAATCCTTTCATAATGAACATCAATGAAAAGACTGAAGTTTAAAAGGGCGAGCAGAATTAGAGTTGGGGTAAACAAGGACTACACAGAGAAGAGAAGCAACTTGTGTCTCAGGCGTTCGCCCTCCTCGTCATGCACCAAAATGCTCAGCTTGTCAGGTCAGACCCCGCTTGCAAGCGGGAGCGGAGCTGCACACTTACAGTCCTGCCTCCTCCCCGCCAAGGCGTAAGAGCCCCGGGGCCAGCTGCAGCGCCCGCCTGGTGGCAATGGTCTCCTCACCTCCACGCCAGGACGGGAGCGGGATGGAGACGGTCAGTGCACCACACCAACTTCGAGAAGGGTTACACAGTTCTCTTAAAAACAGTGGACTACTTGTCTCTAAAGTCAAATATTGTTATTCTTCCCAAAAGGAATTACGCAACATCTGTAAATAAATATTTTTAATCTATTTTACAAACTATAGTCTATTGAATAAATAAAAAAAATTCATCATTCCATACAAATGCGCTTCTTTTATTTAAAAGGTAGTGTAGTGATTAAATATTTTTAGCACAAAACTAAGCTGACTCCCTGGCAACAAACCCCACCGGAACATACAGGCATGTAGCAGACCTGCTGCAGACTGTCCCTTCTCTTCTGCATGTGCTCACCACGAGTAACTGCTACTCAAAGTCCTCTTCGTACTCGTAGTCATCCAAGTCTACATCAGCCAGATGGGAAGGCATGTCAAAAAACGGTCTTTTTTCCATTTGATACTTGAGGACATTGGCCTTCTGATGGTCGGCAGGATTCAGTTCTGCTTCATACCTGGGAGCAGGCAAAGAAAAAAGAAAATGAAGGAGTCTGCCTGTGTCAGGAACCTCCTAAAAGTCAGAACAGTGACAAGGCACCTGCAGGAAAAAGATAGAAAATTCACACTGGACTGTCAAGCAGTCACTTCAGCTCAGGCAGCAATTGCAACCCTTTCAGCACAGGAAGGGATTTCAAGGAAGTTTTGGTACAACACAGAAACTTTAAATGCTCATAGCAAGTTTTGCTCCGAAGCCCCATCCAGTCTGGCCTTGAACACATCTTCCATATGGCTGTGTGCATGATACTTGAAATGCTTTGACCAATTACAAAGCGGTAGTTCATGGAGAGAAGCAGCATCACAATCTATGCCCCAAAGAAACAAAGCAGCAAAACTTGAGGAACACTCGGATAAGAGCTTTTATCCATCTGTGCGGATGGTCAGCAGTTAAACTGTGGCTTACACATCAAACCCAACAAGGGATGCAGAAAGTAACTAAATAAAAAGCATGATTTTCGAGGCTGTGCTTCCACAGGACACACTGTTTCTCTTAATCGTCAGGTTTTCTCCTACAAGATCTGTGACAAATCTGCTAATGCCAGAAGCAGAGACAACCTACAACTGGAGAGTCACTTGAGCTAACAAACACCAGGCTCAAATAAATGAGAACTGGGTGTTTCACACTGTATGTTTCATCATGCTTTTTCTCCATATCCCAGCGTACTCCCTACATTATCCTTACCCTAACACACTGGTTTTCCTTAAGGAGTGGAGTGAAGGTGCACTTCATCGAGTTTTCGGGTTATTAGGATTCTGCTTTAAAACCCTGCATTCCACTGTATTCTCTGTATTACTGAAGCTGTGCCTGTACCATGGGGAGAACAAACTTCATGGAAGTACCTGAAACCTAAGTGTCCAAAACCTCTTAGAAACTTACTGAAAACTGAATACTTAAGGTAAATTTTAAAATCTATTATAAAGTTTAACTTGAGAAGCATTTTGTATTTCAGTTTCTATTTTGTCCACTTTCCATGTAAAGCCACAGAACCAGAGTTTCTGGTACACCTTAAATACATTTTTCATGGAAACGTAGTGACCTGACCCCTAAGAACTGTGAACTGTGCAGCTTTTATCTTCACCAAGAGCAGGTATCTTGGGGTGGCTGGGGGGTGAGAAATACCTAAACACAAAATAATTCAGTCTAAACAATAATCACATAAAAGTGAAATAGTTAAATGATAATCACAGATGCGCAGTTCAGGGAAACAGCTGCAGGCAACAAGTTCATGACTGAATCTGAATGAAAGCACCTCGAGGCTCTTTACATCCCATCCACACTTGTGAGTGAAATTGGGCCTAAGCATTATCTTAGACCTTTGCAAAATTACACTCGCCTACAACAGCCCAGCAAGTTCAAACCCTTAATCAGAGCTGCAGAGCAACCTCACTTCCTGACATGCAGGTCCCTTACTATGTATGTCCAAAGGGTATTTTGCCTCCAGTAAGTTTCAGTCTCCAACAATCCCACACACAGTCTGAGGACAGAATGCCAGAGGAACAGCTGAAATCCTTCCTTGACAATCTTGGCTAAGGATTAGCTTTTGCAGAGCATAGAGCATATGTCTGAACCCTCGACATATCTTAACCGACAGAAGAACTAGTTTCTCAGGGTGCCCCACAGCAGAGCTGTAAGAGGCCTTAAGAGCTGCAAGACAGAATTAAAGCATTTTAATGGAATCCAGGAAACCTGCATTTAACTATCAGCTCTCAGGTGAGCTTGAGACAAATCTAGTCAAAAAGCCATCTGAATGTCACCACTTTGTATCTGAAAATTGGCAAAATGGACTCACCACTCGAATTCTAGACAGTCGCAATAGCAGTAGAATTTTAAACCAGGAAGGGGAGGACTCACGACTACTGCGATGTAGTTGTTCAGTAAACAAACAGACCAACAGAAGAGGGAGAAACAAACTCTGAAGTAATATCTGAGTTACAGGAAAGGTTGTTCCTCCCTCACTGAGCGCAGAGCTGAACATGACAAGCAGCAACATTCTACAAAAATAGCATCAGGGACGATAGTGATGATGAGGCTCTACATTAGCAGAGAGGATTCACACCAACCCTCCTGCTACATTCTTACCCGTCATTCCACTGGTCACTTGCTGCCTCTTCTGCTACCAAGATATCATACTCTTCAGCAGCATACTTCTCCCAGTCAGAGATCTCTTGGCTTTCCCCTTCACCATCCTAAACAAGCACATCACAAGTTATACAAAAACCCATTCATTGTTAAGCACGTAGCTAAAGACTTCTAAAGCTACATACTCACCCGCAACATGGAAAACTGATCCTTCTGTTCATGGTCAAGGTATTTTTCAATGTTGAAAAAAGTGTCAAAAAACACATTTGTCAACTTACATCGCTTTAAGTCGTGCAGAGTAATTTTTCCTGTAAAGAAGATTATGAGAAAAGATATTAAGAGCTGAAATTATCCTTTCTCCAAAAGTGGAGGAATGTTATTCCAAAGTTAAGTCATCATTATGCTCAAGAACATTTGTCACTGATGCTAAATGCAATGGGACTGAAGGGAACAGATGACACACACGTCTAGAGATGTGTCCTTCAAAGTGGACAAAGCTTTTAAACGTTTCAGATTAGTTACTTGCTTAAGCTTTATCCTACTGTCCTTCAGTACCTTGGAGTGAGATGCAGTCTACCTTGCCTAGCTACTAAAAATCATTTCAGATAGTTGCCTAAGCTTCCTCAAGAGAGAGAAGTCTCCGTGAGCTTGCTATTCCTTCCCAGGAAGTGCTTGGGTAGCAGGTAGGAATCTCCTCTGGCAGCAGCCCTTTCTCTTCCCTGACTTGGAAATAAAAATGTTATGACAGATGAAGGCATGTGATTGTGCTTCAAACAGATGAGTTTTTCATAAAGCCTAGTTTGTCACACTTGTCCAGCCTGATCAATATTTACTGCTTGAGAGGAAAGCTAAATGCTCAGATGTGTTTGTTTTGTTTGGAAGTTGTTTTTGAAATGCAACTTAAAAGACTCAAATCAATGGATCTGTGTTAGAAGTATTTGTCAGGTGTCTCAGAAACGTTACTTTATTTCAAACCTGAATGTTAAGCTTCTGCAGAAAGACTGAAAAATACCAGATATACAGGGGAAAGACAGATGACTATCTTTAAAACTCCCCTTTATTGATTCACCTGAACTATGGCCAATCTTCTGTTGTCAAAGAGGGACTAATAGCAGATGTTATGGAAGAGTTCAATAAATGCCAGACTTAGAACAGTATTTCCTCAGCAGACTATCCCAGCCTCTAACAAAGTATAACTCAAGGACAATGGAGGGAAGCAAAAGCTGAATCCCACTTGGAAATGGTTGCCACACTTAGATCTGCTGCCATCTGAAGTGCCTTAATGTATTCTGCCTGGCTTATAGCTGATGCTCCAGAACGACACAAATCCCTCATGGCACCTGTGTTGTATCTGTCAGACCCACACAGATGTCTGATGCGTTGGGCCATCTCAAGTGGCAGCAACTCTCCACAACCAAGCAAATGGTTTGAATCCTAGTTATATAAGCTCCCAGTTTAAGTTAGACACCTATATTTGGTTCAGTGATTTGCTCTCCAGTTTCCATTTACTGCAATGGGAGCTTAGGCACCTAACACTTGTGTTGATGCCTACTCATGTAGATGCCTAATACCATCTCTCAAAGACCAGAAAGAAATAAAATAAAAAAAAAAAAAAAAATAAGAGAATGAAATGGAGATGATTAATTCAGGTCTCCACAAATTAAAGAATTTGCTTTTGAGTACACAGAGCATCCTGTAGCAAAGTGTCTTTGCTAGTTTAGCCTTAACTGTATGAAAGTACCTTCTTTTGTTTCAAACCTTTCGAGTGAATTGTCATTTTATGCTGCTAGTTTTTGTGTTAGAAAACTAATGAAGTTTTTTTTCTAATCCTGCTTTTAAACATCAGGTTTTATAACACCACCCCCCCCCCCAAAAAAACACCAAAAAAAATCCCTAAACAAAACATCAACCCTTCACAATTGGTTTTCATTTCTGTTGCCCTGAATAACTTATCTTGGCTATGTTTCACAGACTCCTTTTATCATCTTCATGATATAGGAGAGAGACATTTATCTTGTTCCATTTGACATGCAGAACAGAAACATTACTGAAATTGCCTGTCTTTCAGAAGCATAATGTACAAGACTGGGAGGGAACCCCTGAGTTCAGGAGGCAGCCTTGTAACATAAATAAGTCGTTACTTATCTACAGAGCCAAACACTGTTTAGAAACTGTTCTTTATGAGGAAATCTCAATTAAATGATTACTGGATTACTGGAACAAATACCAGGCAAGTGAACAGAACAGTCAAGAGTTTTTCTTGAGAGCATCACCTCAGCCAGATTGTGACAAGATTTCATTCAAGACCAAACACAGCTACAACTCAAAAATAAAAGCCTACAAGGAATTTTAAAGCAGCGTATTAGATTTTAGCATGAAAATGAATGCTTATCTGCCGCTGGAAGACGAGGTGATCAATAAAATAAAACATTTTAGAGAAAAGGCAACCTGAAGGAGCATTCTTTGTATGACCAATTGAGTTCTCTTAAGGGTGCACTAACTCCTAATCCAGAGAAATGTAAGTTACAGATGGAAAAGGATTTTATTACCTTCATACTGTGGCTTCACGAGATCCAGCATCTGGCACAAACAGTCTTCAAATGGCAAAGGTTCTATGGCCATGTTATCCAATTTTTGGCACTGTTCTTCATAAAAATACTCCAACTCATACATAGACAAAGCACCATCCCCATCAAGATCCATGCAGCGAAACCAGTATTCAATGCTGAAATTCAGTAATTAAGAGCAAAGAACTGTTTACACAAGCTTATTTCAAAATTTCATTTATTACAAATTTATGTTGCCCATTTTAAAGGCTACACTACTTCGTGATGCAAAACTAGACATAAGAATATGCTCCATAATGCCACAGAAAGTCATTAACCACCACCTACTGTGGTAAGAGTTACTGGTATTTGCCATGACATGCATTATTGCATACAAAACCACACTTGTTAATTGAGTGGATGAAGCAGGAGAGGACTAAAATGTAGTTTTACATGAAAACTCAAGGGAGACCATGAAAAAATTCAATTGATGCATTAAAACCCAAGTTCTTCTTTTCATATTGAAAAAGCCAGTGTTGTATCATGCAATAGGTTTCTTATTAATATCCCACAGCTAACGCTAGGTGTGTAGTTTTCCAAAGTCACTGGAGTATGAAACAAGTTTCCTTTATCTATGTCTGTAAGGAGGCTGCACACAGAGTATGAAACAGTAACATTTAATTAGCTTCTTAAAAATCATTAAAATAGACTTCTACAGCAGCAGGATACACTGATAACTAAGAAGGATACGAAGAACTGGGCAAGTTTTTCACTCGCATGATCAAAGAATGGTTGAGTCTGGAAGGGACCACTGCGGGTCATCAAGTCCAACCTCCTGGCTCAAGCAAGGTCACCCAAAGCACATCATGTCTTTATAGTTTAGCTTCTTCCATCAGAGTTCTAGCTGAGCATTAGTGGTCCCCATTTAAAGACTGGAAAACCATTCAATATAGTCAGTCTTTATTTCTGTTAAAATATAAATTCAGTCTTACCTAGTTGGTGTCTTTTTGTCCTCTTCAGATATCAAAAACCAGACAAAATCAGCATAGCTAATTTTCCCATCTTTTTGTGCTTTTCTACCTCTTGAAGGCCAATGAGGGGGAAAAAAATAGAAAATTTATTTTAAAAAACCTAGTTTTTACCAACCAAAAATCAAGGATTATTTTCTGTGGTGCTATTAACCATTTATTTACTCCTAAATGATGCAGTGTTTGTAAGGTGACTTGTCACAGACTACTTTGACCATTTAGGACAAGGAGCTTATGTCTCTTCTGTTTTTACTGCTGGAATGGATGGAAGAGGAAGGTAGCACGTTTCCAGAAGGACTTAAGAGCTTTCCTTCCTGGGCAGCAATACCACTGTTTGGTTGTTAACAGAAGACATCTCTCAATTAATTAAAAAAAGTATACATAAATACACATTTTTTTGAATTTATATTCAGGTAAAAGTGATGAGAACTTAAAGCTGTGCTTTAAAAGTGGAATGGAAATATGAAGATAAAAATGAAATAAAGATATTCAGAAAGTGTTCATGACAAGAACATAATAGTCTCTTTCTGTTCCCACAACACAGAATGCAACTATGTTCTGAAGACACATGGTCAACCTGTGTAGTAAAAAGTCAGGTCAGCAGTTCCTAGACGTAATACATTTCATTCCTAAACCCCTTTCCCCCCTCCCCCCCAAAAAAAAAAGTCTAGAAAAATATGGTGCATGATTCGTCTTTCCCCCAAAAAAGTGGTAAGCTCTAGACATACGCCTGCCAAGTGTCATTTCACTCATTTGTGCTTTTGCTATTTACCAGTTGCTTCCTAGCTGTGAAGGTTGTGTCAGCCAAATGTTTCAAAACTGACTAAAATTGCCATAAATACACAAGAGGAAGTCAATCCAAGTGGCAAAAAAATGAAGAATGACTGTCAGAAATGTGAATTAGCACAGCAGGAGGCATTTTTGAAAATCTGTTGATGCAATAAGCATTGATGTTTCAAGTAGTACTGAAAAGCCCAATTCCATTTGAATATTTACAATCTGAGGGATGGAAAAGCAACGATGTCAACATTTCCTTCCTTCTTCATTCCCATCCCTGTTAAACTATACAACATCGAATAGCAATGTTCATATGGATAACGAAAGGAGAGTAAAGAACTTGTACTGCACCAAAGGTTTCCAGAGCACTCTAGTACTACTAGAGTTTAAACTACTAAATCTTGAAAATCACAGTTCCATTTCAAGGGAAAGGCATTTTTTTTTTTCCCCTGAGAGTGTCACGCTATTTAACAAGCAAACATTTAATTGGATTTAGATCAGCATACAAAACAAATACCTTGTTACTGCTCCCGAGAAGATCCGCTCTATCATCCTATTTGAAATTGCTGTGAAAAAAGGGTTTAAAATCATGTCAGTTACATACAGGTCATTTTTGCTTTGTATTGTCTGAAGAGTTTACTGGAACCCTCTTTGGATTCAGACTTGATACAGAAATAGTAGTGTAACAAAAGTAACAAAATCGGCTGATTAATAAGACAGCATTTACCAGTTCTTTGACAAGTCAGTCATGTTTTCCAGTGCCACTATATTTTATATGACCTTGGCAAAGAGCCACAATGGAATTGGCACATTCATACGTAATGAGCACACCTAACTGATTCTGACATGGGTCTATTTCTGACATGGTTCTGATCCACGCTTCTGTTTTGAAACTATTTCAGGGATTTCAGAGACATGTCTTAACTGAGCACTACCTCTGTAAAGGATATTCAATTTATCCTGAAGAATTTGTGGATGGTACTCAGAGCAGCACATGATACTATTCTCACAGAATTACTTATTATTCCAGCTTTGAAATATTTTTATAGCATTGTAGAAATACTGATAATTAAAGCAGGTAGTTAACCATTCAAATAGTTCATGTGTTTTATGTACTTCTTGTAAGGCTATCACTGTATTATTCTAGTAAGTATGCCAGTCCCCACTTAGGATTTATCCCCAGAACTGTAGGACAGCCAATTTTTCAGACATAAGTGCTGCTGCTTCTTCCTATCTACTTTTGAAACACTGAAGTTGTTCAGCCTTAGCAACAGTTACATACTTGAATATTTTCTTACTCCATGTAAGCATTCCATCTAGCCTAATTTTAGATCAGTGACAGTACAAAAGGAAGGAATTGATGAAACCAGATTATCTACTGTTGACATGCAAAAAAAACCCCTAGAAGTTTAAAATTAAAGTTGGGTTATCATATCCAAAGCTTCCAAAAAAACCCCCCAACAATTCCATACAAGGTACAAGTGTGCAACACTATGAAATCACAGTCATTGCATACGGAGAATGCAGAAAATGTAAAGCTGCTAATAGTATTAAACAAGATATACTGCAACTGAGTTGGCAAAACTTTAAAATAAGCAGAATAACTGAATGTATGTTTGCCTTTTTCTACTCCTTCCCTACCTTGTCAGAAGAGCCATGATTCTTGAACAATATTGGTAAAATGGATTGTTTCCAAGGTAACCCCAAACTGCCAAATACACCTATTAATAATATACCAAGACTTAATAATATTTTCCTCTACTTCTTTGCCAAGATCAGAATTCAAATTCAGAATTTTCATCAGATTTGGTATTGCAAGACACAGAGCAGTGTCACAGATGACTTGTCCTGCTTTATTTCACTGAGTCAGCAGGACCAGCTATACCAGCAGACTAATGAACATCAGCCTTGGCAGTTAACCACTTTCTCAGCTAAAAGTTTACAGGTTATTTAATACATGTAAACAAAGGTGCTTTATTTGTCATACCATGATCATTATGTCGAGCTAAATCCTTCCGGTCAATATAGAGGTCATGGTCTGTATCCAGCTCCCAAAATTTGCAATAGATAACATAAAAATGTTCATATGAGAAGTACTCTGTCAGCTGGTTAATATCAGCTTCCTCTTCCAATAATGCCACATTCTATTATCAGAAGGATAAACAGAACACATTAAAAAATTTGTAAGACATTTGTTGAATGATCCAAGTTCTCATAACTAAGTTAATATCTAACGCTATTTCAGTGGAACAATTTTTATCTTCAGAGACGGTGCACACCATGCAGCATGACAGCAAAGACTGAACACAAGGTAGAAAACTAACATGGCCACAAAAGAATGAGAAGATCAGCCAGACTAAACACATATGCCTATATACAGCTCCAGATAAAAGATGACATTTAGACATATTATAGTGTATGAGAACTAATACAATTAAGCCTTCACTAGTTTTTGGAAAAGAAATAAATGCTGCTTATGTTACTCCCTTAAGCATTTAGTTAACGCAATTTTTAAACTTGTAGAAACATCTGTCTTGCAAAACTACAGATATTATGTACCTGCAAAAAGTTGCTTTTCCTGAGCTCATTACAAGTTATTTTCCCAGACCAGGACCTATTTACTGTATAAAATATTCTCTGTATAACCTGTAAGAAACAGAAAATGGAAAGGTGATCTTAGGTATGGTAACTAAACACCCTCCCAAACACTTGTCAAAGATCAGTCTTAGCTCAGCTGCATTACAGGAACCTACTACCCCCTACTTCTATTCTTCTCATTACTTAGCAGGTTGATGCTTCTCTTATACATTGTATTACCAAACCATTTCTAAATCTTGTATCTAAATACATCTTGATAAGTCTTACTTCAATGCTGCAGTACCCATATCTCACACAGTCAAGTTGCAGAATAATTGCATGCTATTCAGAATATGTTTATTGGCAACTTCACTACCTCCCAGTCTTTGAGATCTACAGGTTATCATCTAACAAACCTATTAATGTATCTCATTACTTCAGATTTAAACACCTTTATTACTCTAAGAGTATTTTACTTCACAGATGAAGTTACAGAAATACAACAGGGACTGTTTAAGGATCAGAATACAGGGGGATGTTGCTACTTCTGAAGCCTGCAAATACAACAAATCAACAGACAGAAATACTTCCTGCAGGTGCAGAGGGAATATATTTTCCCCCCATTTAATTTTTTTCTATTTAAAGTTACCTGAGAAAAACTCTATCAATAGCATTAAAAGAAGAAAATAAATGTTTTATAACTGAAAAACAGAACAAAATAAATCTATGTGAGAAAGATGACTAGTTCTTGGGCCATGACTGATACTGGAACCAGAAACAAATGCATTCAGTTGAGTATCCAACACTTTTGCTTAAATCAGTTTTACATGTACATTATTTTGGTAAACTCATACATCCAGCATAATTTGCTTAGCTTGGGTTTACAAACTACTAAGACTTTAAAATATGCCTTTTTTCTATTTCTTAACCAAATTCAGTATTTACCTCAATCAGTTTGACCTAAGTCAGCCAGGGATATATTTCAAGTCAGTCATTCACCACTAACAAAAGCAGACAAAATCTAAACATATTATGAACTATAACTGCTTAATTGGAGATTGATTATACCTGTGAATTAGTAAGACTAAATATTGCATATGTAGTGTATCATTTAACTAGCTAAAAGCTCCATCTCTTTAGGAACCCTCTTCCCCCAAATAAATAATGAAGTCTTTAGCTGGGAAGAGGTTTTAAGTTTTTATCACTTCAGAATTTAATTGCAGAAAATCAATAGTTTAAGCAAACCAATAATTTCTAAATTACAAATAGAAGAGTAATTTATTCATAAAGTTTTAAAATAAAGCTTAAACTGTAGCATGCAGGAAGCTCTAGAGCTCTTAACTTTGAGCAAGAACAGCTGGCTCAATAAATGCAGAAAGGAGAATAGACTAGCCTACTTTTGAAACTTAATTAGCTTAATTCTAATCATGAGTTTAGGGAAGGCCCATTTTTGGCTTATACTACAAAGCAATTTTTTTCTAAAAAGGTTTTGCCTTAGCTTTGCAACTTAATCCATCTGCATGTCATTATCTCATCTGTTACACATTTCACTGGGCTAAAAATAAAAACAAAATTGAATGTTTGCTAAAGACAACTGGGAACAGACTTAAACGTTTTTCTACAGTGAATAGAAGCAGAGTATAAGCAAATTGTCAGAGAATTGCTTTCCTTACTATGCTGCACAGTGATTTGCAAGAAAGAAGAAACAGTGCAATACAGAGATTACCATTTCAAGAACTCATAGTTCATATATATACATAACATACGTGCAGATTAAATGTAGTATCTCATTTGTCAGGCCAAATGTTTTTAACATATTTCGGCTTTATCTTGTTCATATGTACCCAACTTTACCACTAGACCGACCGAACAACCTGTACTACCTACAGCCTAGCAGACAGAACCAAATGCTTCCATGGTTGAACAACACTGACACAACTCTTGCTTCACTAAGGAGATGTATGTAATGTATATATGCACACACATACACAGATATATGTATGTATATACAAACACAGCAGAAGAATGGATCATTTATAACTGGTATTTGGTGTGAACAAACGCTAAATCTAAATCTACAGTGCTTACAAAATCCTTTAGATAAAGCTTCAGGTAGCAAGGTAAAGCTAACTGAATACAGGTATGAAATGCCTTATTTCATCTTAGAGAAAATAATCTGTAATTATTGATAACAACTTGCAGGACAGAATTTTAGAAGACTGTATTGGGCAGCAGTTATTCCATCCTCAAATATGACAAGAAAGAGCAGAGAATCCTCCTGCCATTTCTTAATCTGCAGAATAGTACTGCAAATATTGCTGCCATATTCATAGCAGTACTAGTTTACTTTTGGGATTTTTATTGAACACTGATTTCTGTTGAAGACTACACTAGATTTTGTTAGTAAAGTACTCTTAGCACTGATTTATTCAATATTCCTAGACTCATGCCTACTTCAAATAAGCTGTTCCTCCAAAGAAAAGTAACCAGAAATGGCAGGACCTTTCCCTCCTACAGATCCTCAGGACAGGCAGCAAGCTTTCACAATTTTAAGTAGGGCAGGGTTTGATACAACCCAGAATCTGTTAAGAAACAAAAGTACCTACAAGCAGAACATCTCCTTCACTCACATTGGACAAGTAGTTTTGGGAGCTCACGTAATCATTATAACAAGAACCAAAACCTAATGCAGCAGGACATGCTTGATACACCCGCAAGTATCTATAAGAAGGATGTGAGGAACCAAACCCAAATGTTTTCAGAAGAGCTTCCACAGTTTTGTTTTGGGTCAAACTATAGACTGGATAAAAGATGATCAACTCTGTTTTTTTTGTTGGAGAATATTCATTAAATGATTTTTCACACGCACAAAGTGAACTGAATGTCATTTTAAAGAATTTTAATCTTTTAAGACTTCAGTGGAATCTGCTGTCAAGTCTACTGTTGAAAAAATTTAATGTCACTGATTTTTCCCTTGGGTACAGAAAGAATACTTCAGTCACATAACCCTATGAAAAGAGAAATGGAACTTTTCATGTATAAAAATTGCTTAGAAACAAAAATCCCCAGAGAGGGAAGTGGCAAGCAGCTTCAATATTATCATCATTATTTTACTTACTAGTGAACATAATCACATTAATATAGACTTTTCATTCAAAATTCCATTTAATTAATCCCAGAGTAAGGTCAGGATTCTAATGAGTACAGTCTATAGCCACAATCAAATGCTTAAGAGTACGCTCTTTGTTTAGCGTTCATTAACTTATCCTACACTATTACAATTCAGTGTTTCTCTACTAGCATTAAGTTCAGCAATTTGTTGTGTTAAGAAAAACTACAATGCTGAAGAAATTGAGTCTTTCTTAATAAGATTTCTAGCAAAGTAGAAATAAAGACTGGCAGCATACTCAACTTTTCTGAAGGGACAAAGATACTTACACTGACACATCGTAATTTTGATTTTTCTACTTTGTTAACAGAAAATAGTTTTTCCCAATACAAATCACTTACTGTGGTAATGTACCGAGAATGAAATTCAGATGCTTCTTTTAAAAATAATAGACCAGGATGACTATTCACCACATCCTACAAAAAGAAGAAGAAAAGAGGAATAATATCCCGAAACAGTATTCATTAGTGACTTATATATAAACCAGTTAGCATAGACTAGCCCATCTGCTCCTTAACCAAAACAGTTCAAATTAACTACCAGAGTCATTGATAACTTCATTTACAACATGCTTTATGTAAATGGCACTGCTTTTTTACTGTCATTTAAAGAAGCCAGATCAAGAAACAAACAAAACATATTTTAGATGGGCTGAAGATTTTGAACACTGTTGTAGCTTGTAAATCTGTGGCTGACTATGATTCAGGAAAAGCCAATTTAGGTTTTATTAATACATTAGCAAAGGTGGTGTTTGCTGCTCTTTAAAAGAGGCTGTATTAGATCTTAAATTCATATGCCACTTTCCCTTTCCTTGCAAAGACCTTCCTTGATTTAAATAACTTCCAACTGCCTTTCTAAACTGTAGGGATTCTCAGATACATGTGCTATTCATGCAAGCAATTATATATGCATGCATCTTACTGCAGCTCCCAAAGACCTCACCTTAAACAAAATGATTTACTGTAAAAGAAGTCACTCATTAGCACGAGTTACACTAAATACTACCAATAAACTTTAATGAAGACCATGAAAAAAGCATGTTTACTTAGCCCCCCCCCCCAAAAAAAAATCAGGGCTTTGTGAGCTCATAATTTTGTTGTGTTTCCAGAAAAAGTTTCAATTGCAATTTACTTGTAAAAAAGGAATGAAGTCTTCTTGCACCAAGTAGTTGCATCCAGGGTTCATAAGAAGATGAACAAACTTTGCAGCATCATCGTAGCAGGTCTGAAGTATTCTGAAATGTAAGTATTTCCATTTAATACTCTACACAGAAAACTCCTTGTGGTGCCTTGTACAGGTATCCTAAAGCAAGACCTATGAAACCACAACCACATTTAATTCGAAAGCTAATTGTAAACATTAAAGTACACTCCAGGTGAACTTACCAAAGCAGCACTGTCTCATACATTTACGTTAAAGGAGGTAAGTACAACATGCAATGGATTACATAAAAGAATATTTTAAAGTTAGATCTGGAATGAGAACTTGAAAGAATAAAAAGCATTTTGTCCAGAACTGGCATCTACAACTTCAGGCTATGGTTCTCACTTTTCCCATAAACAGCCAGTCATTCACCAAACATTTTAAAATCTATAAAACCTGTAAACAAAGACTTGTTCGTTTATGTTAAAGTGATTCTTTAGTTACATTTTCCCATGTATAAGTTTGCTGTCTATGGTTGATTATGGTAGAGTGTTTTATTCCCCTTTACAGATAGCATCTCATTTAGAGCTTAAAATATCACATTTCAATTAAAAACACGCAGTACTTCCAAAAGAGTAATCTACTTACTTCCGCCACATTGCAACAAATTTATGAACTGACACGTATCCTGTTCGTTCACCTCCAGCACAATAAAACAAAGGACCTTTCCAGTAAAGTGGGCATTCACAAGCCTAGAATTGAAGTACACATCAAGTCAGTTTATTGATTGCTTATCTGAGGGTTACTCCCTTATTTATAATTCTTTCAAAACCTAAATTTTACAAGTATTAAGAAGAAAACATTTTTGGTTTTAAACTGTTTCTGAAACGAACTGCACCTTCCAAAATAATTAACTGTAAGCAACTGCTTAAGGCTGAAATCCAAAAGTGGAAAGCAAAACACAGTGCAGCTTGCAGCATTCCTAATAGATGAATGCAGTCACATGTCTGCTCTGTCCCTGCTCCAAGCAGCTGAACAAAGCCCATGCTAATAAGCTCCGCTAAAGGGCTGGATATCTTTAAGCTGAGTTCAAGACAGCAAGGTTACACAGCTTCTGAACTGGAGCAGATTTACATTTGTCTGGCTCAGAGAATGGCTCAACTCTTCTGCGTCCTTGCCTATGCATGGCACACCTTCTATCCAATTTTAAGTAGTAGGCCAGCCTGTCCTGAGCACCAGTATTTTGCTTCAGGATACCCAACAGTTACACCTTCACAACTTTAGCGCTCCCACATATACCTACAGTGATGCTTCTATGTCTGCTCCAAGCTTCCTCAGTCATAACAGCTAAGTACCTATCTTGCGCCTAAATCTGGCTACAACTTGGAGTAGTCAGACATGTCAGCATCTCTGAGAATCTCATGTGGATCTCAGATTATGAATACTGCAAGATGTATAAGGTTACCAGAGCAAAAGGATGGTTAATTCTCATACAATAGTTTAACCAGTACTTTAAAAAGTAAGAAAAAGTGAGTTTGATAAATACCATCCTCAGACAGAGCGGCTTTTCCCTATGCTTCAGGAAGGTGTCTTTCATCACTGAATTGTAGGTGACTGGACCCTTCCACCTTTCTTGTCCAGACTTCCACCCCTCCCCAATTCTACAGGAAAGGAGGTGCAGAAGGCAAGGAATCCCAGCATTAACTCAGCAGTTAAACACTTCTGGTCAGGCAAACAAGCAGTTTCTGAACCCCAAGTCCTGCTTTTGTGACAAATCTTTGTTTCTATTTTCCAGACCTTGGACTTTAAATGCAAAGTGACAGCAACAGGGATGAAAAGCTCAGACTCATTAACCAAGACCACGAGTCATAGTCGTATTTCAAGCATTGATTCAATATAACAAAATGGAAATTTAAGTTTAACTAGCTTATTGCCTGTTACACAGCAGTTTAAAAATATTCGCTGCTTTCTAAGCTTAGTATTTTGTCGCTCTGCCGTAACTCTAAATTAGCTCTTCAGTAATAACTAGAGGACTGTAATCTCAAGTTATCAAACCATTCTGTCTTTCAGTGTCTTTACAACAGAGGTTCATGACACAGTAAATGAGAAAAAACAGTGTGGACACCTGAAAACAAAATGCATGTTACCCATGCTTTTGCCTTAAGTTTGTTGGTCAGTAGAGAATACAGAACATACAATGTGCCCTTCAGTAGCTGGTTGTTTGTGCAACTAAAAAAAAATTGTTCAATTTCTGTGTTAATGTTTGTTTCTTTTTATAAGCAAATTTAGGGCCATTTGAAACATAGTTGAGGCAAAGATTTTCATACATAACTGTGCTATCAACAGTGCTGAATATGCCATTTTACTGGTACTACCTTGTAAGAGATGGAAACATATAATACAAGAAAAGAAAGCACACAGAACTCGTGTTTCCTTTCCATAGGCATATAGTACTAAAAGCAGACAACCAGCAAGTTCTCACCTTTGCAACCTTCCCCATGTCTTCTAATGTTGCTCTTTCATTTGGAAACTCAGAGAAAGTTCTCTCAATGTTGGCAATCACAGCATCTATATTCACTTTTTCCTTAGGACATCCACGAGGAAAATAGAAAGTTGGAATGTTTTGACTAAGCGATGGTGGCAAAGTTTCTTCCTTCTTTGTCTGAACCTAAATAGATAAATACACATTTGACAGTCAGGTAAAATGAAATTGCATACAAAAGTCATCCCCAGATGACTTGAATCTCTTGGTATTACATGTTACAGCACACGTCCAAAAAGATTTTTGATGATAGGTTGAATAAACTATGTAAGAATAAGAGCACACTGGAAAAAATTTATGAGTGTTTCCAAAACCTGTCATTTAGAAAGATTCCTAGGATGTTAAAAATTTAATAAAAACAATTTAAGTCTTCAAAGTATCAAGTTCCACGATTAATACACCAGACAGCTTCCTGAAGACGTCTGAAGTTACTCAGGTTCTATTATCAGTTACAGAAGAAAAAACTTCAACTTCTAGCTTAACAGACAGGTCATGAAAGAATTTGCTTTTGAAGTATTTCTAGCTTTACAGCTTCCAGCTTTTGAAATAAGCATGACAACTTTGTTTCAAACCACCAACCTCGTTTAACTTAGTTACAGTGAAGATTTTTTTTAATCCTAAAAAAATGCTTGATTTTATAAAGGTCATGATTCGTGCAGAGGTTTTTTTTTTTTTTGTAAACCATACACAATTATGGCATGAGAGCTTAGAAATTTGTCTCAAGAATTTCTGATATACTAGTAAAACACAAAAACCATGACAAGCAACAAGAGAGTTCATTTATTTAAATGCATTTTGCTTCAGTAAAGGAGAGTTTACCTTGTACTTAGTTGCCAAAAGGAAGTCCGATAAGGCAGAAAAACAATGATAACAATCAAAGTAACAGTAGTTATGTGGTAACCCAAAATTAGCAATTAAACATGAAGTCTTTCATCCCGAGGCCATTATTCAAATGTAAAACAATGGTTAATGTTATCTGGGGGCTCATCCTACTGTTAAATGCGTTCAAGATCCTGAAATTCCATCTCATTTCCAACCAGAACTGGTGGGGGAAGAAAAAAAACAACCCTCCTAAAAAAACACCCTGACACCCCCCAAACCCCAGCCCATATCTTACTCCATATCACCTTTGTCAAAGTGCTCGTAAAGATATGCAGCTTTCCTACCACATTCAAAGTGCTTATGTCAGTGAAAGAACTAGGTGCTTACAGTCAGCAGATTCTGATTTGCAGGGTTCCAACCCAGGAACCCTCACTGGAATGCTACACATGCTAAACCCAGTCTGAATTAACCTCTCTTTCCTCTCCTCTGCATTTGAACCAGCATTCCTGTTCACGACTGCAGAATTACCTCAACAGATGTACAGGTTTTACTTCAGAGGAAAATATTGTCTTGAATCTATGACACCTAGAGTTAATGTTTGTCATTTTCTAAGAATCCTGTCAATTACAACTTTTGATACCTCGCCATTAGTTCCACGGCCCAGCTAATGAAGTATCAGCTTAGAATATGAATGCCACAGGACATCAAAAATCCCTTTCAATCACGGACACCCAAACTCTTGGGGAGTGTCAAGATAGGATACCACCAGCACTACAAATAATGTATGCAATCGGATTAACACCTTGTTTCATTCTAGAAGGCCAGCTTACACATCAGCACTTCAGAAGAGCCCTAGCAGTTATCCTATGTAAAACCAGCCTAAAGACTTACTCCTTGGACTGGTACCACACAGCCAGAGCGCTAGCATGCTCCTGAGCACCAGTGACCAAACCATCTTAACAGAAACTTAACAGAATCAAACTGTTCTCCTCATTCTAAGCAAAGTTATTTTATCTTCCTTCTTCCTCATTTACAAGATCTGCTGGATAGTCAATCTCACATGAGCTGCTCAAATTGCCATTGAAGTAGTAGGAGTGCCAGTTCTTCACTGATGCCCAATGAGGCGTGCCTCATCTAGAAAAAAGTGTCAGTTATAGACTACTACCCCCCTGAATGCTTCAGAGAACATGAGGTAAATCAGTATTTCAGGAAAACCTGGTACAGCCAGACAAGGCATTTTTAAAATCTACAACTAGCAAAACATAGAGTCTCAGATTTTTTAGTAGTTTGTTTTAAATGGAAAGTTAGTGGCAGAGGGAAGACAACACTGGAAAAGCTCTTAAGAGAAGAAGAAAGGCTCAACAGAACTATTCGTTCTCCCACCACCCTTCCTCCCCCAAAGTACTAGTTGACTTCAGGTACCTCAGAATACACAATAAATTATTTCCATTAGTCCAAGTTAAAAGCTGTTCTTAGATGCATGTAGAGATTTCAGTTCAGCATTTGTAGTAAGACCTACCCTAGTATCTGTAACTTCGAGTGTCCCGAGTTACACAATGAAGGTTATTTATTTATTCATTTCTCATCTTTGTGTATGTTGTAAACGTGTTTCAGACCATGATTATGAAGAACTTAAGCAACAGATTCAGAACTGAAGACAGACATACAGGTGAAGAAAATGGATTTTTCCAAGATGAAAATGTTATGTTTAAGCACTACTTTGAATTCAGCATGTTTAGTGTAAAAATATATAACATTTAATCTGTAAAACGGTGTATTCATTCAAGTCTAAAACCAAGTATAGAATACAAACCTCTTGCTGCAAGATAAAATAACCCTCCCTATACTGTAAGATACTGCCTATTTCTACATGCTGGTTTCCCAAAGTCAGTGCAAGAAGAAACTGTGAAAGTGCTCCATTTGCATCAGGAAGTGTGTGATCACTTCACAACCATTTCAGATAGATTTATTTGGTGCCTACATATAGGCATCTAGTGAGAACACCATCTAGGGCACAAACCAAAATGCCCTTGAATATTCCACATGGTATTCAGCAGCCAGCTGGGAGCAGAGCTCTCACTCTTCATCTGCCATGAGGGTGTTCTGAACACACTAATACTTCTTAAATGCCACTAGCAACTTGCAATTGGACAACTGAGTTGTACTGTTAATATCCGTCAACACAGGGATAAGAACCTGTACCAAAGAAACAGGTTGTCGAAAACTATCAGTTCCAACTAATGCACTATATAGTATCGAATCTCCTCTCTCTCCTCACCTTCCCTTGAAGACCCAGAGATTCTTCTCTCAGCCTGACTCCCATCTGGCAACTGAAAGACTCCTTGCACAACTGAGGCCGTGCTGCTTCTGATGAAGGAACGTGGGATACTAAAGGGGCTCCAAAAGCTTCACTACTTTCTATCATTTCAGTTAGTTACTTGTATAGACGCACATATACTATAGCTGATGAAAAGAGGCAGTTCTGTTATTTCAGAGCAATCAAAATGTGCTAATTGCATGAGATTAAGCTGTTCTAAAGTCAATTAGAACCTTATCCAGGGAATTTCTTTATTAAGAAGAACCGCTATATGCCTGCTAATGATGAATCTTTCGACTAAAAAAATCTGCAGCAACAGTTCATTATTGTTTTTACCCAAGTATTCCATTTCAGTGGTTAATTTAACATTTAGAAAGGGATCCATATTGTCTTACAGCTTTAAGTTAAAACTTTTAATACTGTTACAAGTAAGCTAAACTGACAAAAGAAACTGGATTGGTAAGTGAAGTTTTTCCCTGCAACTTGTCAAGAAGTATCACAAACAGTAACATGCTTGGAGTTAAGGACAACAGCTGTATAAGCTTGTCAATAACTCATAGGAACAGATGTGTGCTGCAGTGTCAGGACTGAATGGCACATTAACCTCTGCAATACATATGTGTAAAGTCCAGAATCTGTAATCTTATTGTGCAGTCGACACTGCAGTTTATGTAAGAAAATTCCTGGTTTGCAATAATGTAAACAAACTTATGTAAGATTTGCCTATAAGAGAATTCAAGAAAACCTTTAATACATAACCAGTTTTCATTGCTGACATACAGAATCATAAGGATTGTCCACAGCTATCTAACACTTACTTGCCTTAACTTTTACAAAGGAGGAATTGGACGTTTATGCTCCACTGGGCTCGCTGTTCAAAGGGCAAACTTCCCATTTTATTTTGCAACTTTACAGATCCTTTTCCAACTGTTTTCCATCAGGTGTTTATAATAACAGTATAAAACCATTATTATAATTACAATAAAGTACCAGAGAACATGGGTACACCTAATTCCAAAGAGAGAAGTTCAGTCTTCTTACTAGATAGTCTTAGATCTACCAACAGATGAGTTGCACTTTACAGTTGACCTGGTTATAAGCAAAAATGAAGACAGTGGGGATTTGAAAATGAGGTGCCCTTTTCCTTCTCTCTCAACTGAAAGAGCAAGCTAATAATGGAGTCATTCAATGTCAGGATATGTTTCTGAAATAAAAAGGAATGGGGTAGTTGTTCGCAGATATTTTAGGACTGTATACTCAGTAAAGTCTAGATCCACATCTGCACATAGAGAATACCTAAAGTTCTGAACCCCACAAAGGACATACGTGGATTCAAATGCAAGTAAAACTTTCCTATAAAAGGACTTGTTGCAATACTTTTCAAATGTGCAATGCATAAGCTAGCCTTCAAAAGACCAGGTCTTCTATATCACCATTTATGCTGATATTACCTGGCTGAAACAAAGTGCATAATAAGCCAAGAGGATTTTCTACAGAGATGTGTTATTCAGCCTTTTAAATCCTAGCATCCCTGCAACCACTTGTATACAATGCTTATAAACAACTCAACAACTGCAGATACTGCATGAAGTTCCTTAAGACACAACAGAAGATGGAAGTCAATACAGATACCTAAATGCTGTTTAGCACATGAACTTGAAAATTCTAAGCTTATGCTACACTATTGTTTTCCTAGATAAAAAGTCTCTAAGCTTTATTAAATTCAGCAAGTTCTTATGGAATACAAGGTGTCCCTACAGCCTATCAATGTTGAATGGCAATTGTGAACGTAAGAAAATGTTATTGGTAAGCAGGCTCAAAAAGAGTACCTGAGCAGCCTTCCCATCTCTTCGCTCTTTTATAGCCATCCATCTAACCAATGAAGTCACAGGAATATTTCTTCAACTTACGATCTATTTGATTGCACAGTGAAAGTCTAGATAAGAAAGTGACATGATGAGTAGTTTCATGGAATTTAAATCTTGAA